CTGACAGCCACAAAGGCCAGTGGAGGTGAGGAGCAGAGCCTGGAGGTGGCGGTGTGGCTGTGCGGCTGCGTGGCTGGTAAGATGCTGCCCTGCATGAGGGGGAGACGGGCTCAGACACACTGCACCAGGACACTCCTTCCACCCTCTGGGCCAGCCCTGTGCTCACCTGCAAAGTGAGATTTTCACGGTCCCTTCTGGTTCTAACATTCCCTAACTCCAAAGGCAATTCCTCTGATTATCACCGAGATTTTCGCCAACAAGAAGCACAGAAAGGGGTTTTACAAATATGGATGTGTCCTTCGGACTTCCTGCTCTCTCACCAAAAAGCAGCAGGATTAAAGATGGAAATAAAAATCTCTTTTTTGTGTATGCCCTGAATGACATTTCTTTGTTTGGGTTCTTTTATTAAAGAAGTAACCCAGCTAATGAAGGGAGTGAAATAGAACATGCCTCTGATTTAGAGCAGGATTTGCAACGTGGTTCTCAAATCTTTCACTCCCGAAACACTGGGTTTATGGATGGTGCCCAGGGGATTTCCGGAGGATGCCCGAGATCGCCTCCAGCATCCAGGAGGAACAATTAACAAATTCATGAATGTGTACTCGTTTACCGCTTTGAATCCCCACACTAATTATTGCTTTTTAAGTAAGGGCTTCACCCTGGATTTTAGAACTTTGTACGTGTAAGTTATTTTTCAATTTGTGAAAATGATGCATTTCACACCGGAAAATTGCACTCATAAAACCGTTTTACACTCTTTAACAATCTGCACCAGGCAAAGGTCTTGAAAAAAAAAGCAGATGTGTGATGTGAAAAAGACGCGATTAATCTGTGTTAGCATACCACTGAAACCAGCTCGGCGTCAGGTACACTCAGAAATGCCCTAGACGGACTTACAATGCCCGGGGTTGCTAGAATGTGGGGACAGGCAACCCCATCGAACGGGGGTGGGAGGGTAAACTAGTGCAGACTCTCGGGGCACAGTTTGGCAACAGCTAACAAAAAAAGCAGATCCACGGAGCCTTTGCTGCAGGACCGAGGCCTGCTATTCCAGAGACGCCAGCACTCCGCACGGGCGGGGAGAAAGCCGTCCATTGCCACACTATTTCCAGTGGTGAGAAACCGGAACCGGGGACAGATGCGACTGCAAAATTAATAAATGACACCCTTTAAAACAAAAGCCTTATGCCATGGGGATCCCCCACAGGGGCCACAGCCTGGTCTCCAAAGCAACCTCATAGAGGGGTCGGTTAATGGCCCGTTTCCCACCTCCTGTAACCGTGTTCCTTAACCTCCTCGGCCCCCAGGATCCTCGGGGCATCCAGCCGGTGCAGGTCGCTCAGGACTGTGCAGTGGGCTAGGCACCCTGGGGCGGGTCCCAGGAGCTAACAGGCCGCCCGCTGGGGTCCTCCCTGGAGGGCCTACTGAGTCCTGCCTGCCCGCCCCCACCAGGCACACACGGGAACCGGCAGGAATGGGCCCCATGGCCACGTGACCTGAAGCAGTTGAGGATTCCTCTTCCTCATCTGTCAAACGAGGGCTGGGACAGACTGCTCTTTGTAAGAAGTGCTGGAAACAGCGTTAGACGCCGAGGCCCCCCGGGGTCGTCGGGGTCGGGATCTCTCGGGTGGGGCTGAGGGATGGCTGTTTGCACTCCGAGCCCACGGGACTCTTAGGCAAACGGAAAGCTTGAGAACTCGTGCACGTGCCCTACCTGTGCTTATTTTCATTTGAGTTCTGATACATAAACACGGTGTGTCACGTATATATAATATTTATCCATTACATACACAGAAACAGCATCACATAACACGGCCAGCCTGTAAGGAACACCTCAGTCTTACAAATGGGAGGGGACAAATCATCACATTAAGCACGAAAGACAGTGCAGTGTGTGATGTCTCCTGAGGTTAGCCCACCAGACTGTTGGGGCGTCTGATGATAGCTCCCCCTTTTAGCCAGCTCTGATTGCAGCCAAGAGACAGCATTTGTAGAAAAACTCATAGCTGCCCTGAAACCGTTTTGTGAGACGTAGCGAATGTTATTGGGTTTTAACTGCCCAAGTTGACGGATGGAGGGGCACTGGTTTCATCTCAATTCCTGACTTTTCCATCGACTTGAGGGTGACCCCGTCACGTCATTTTTTGCCTCGGAATCTTGGCTTTTCGGTCCACAAGAGCAGCATGAAAACATTTATCCCTTATTAGCGGTGTTTCAGATATTAATGAGTTATTATCTGTCATTGGCATTGTCACTCCCATAGAAAGAAAGTGGCATTAAATGAAGTATTTATTCTGAATCTACTCTTGTATGCCCGTACCTTTAGTATCTTTTTTTGTACATGTTTTAAATAATCTCACATACAATAAAGCATAAATGGGAGTGTAGGTAAACTCTTCATGTTCCAGGACTAATTTAAGTAACTGTATAACTTTTGCTTAAAACATGTTTAGAGTGTATCCCCTGCATTGCTATGGACCTGTACTGGCCGGTACACGACTACAAGCTACATATGGCTATTTAAATTTAAGTGACTTAAAATTAAATAAAATACAAAATTCAATTCCTCAGTTGCACCAGCCACATGTCAAGTGCTCACTAGCCCCAGATGGCTGGCAACTAACGTGCTGAAGAATGTGGATGTAAGGCATTTCCACCGTCTCTGAAAGTTCTGGTAGACAGCCCTGCTGCGGGCTCTCCATACCAGAGTTAGTCATGCCTGGATGATGGCAAATGCTGAGTAACTATTTGATGAATGAATAAGAAAATAATTAGTTCTAACTTGTCGTAATAGTTCTTAAATGTGACAGTCAAAACAGAAGACAGAATCTGCTTTAACCCAAACCCATGTTTTGACACAGCTGAATTAGCTGGAATTATTCCTCGCTTCTGCCTACTTCCAGTTTTGTTTTTAAGGAACACTTCCCAAATTTTGGATCATATCCTCACCCTATTTATCTGATCATTTCATTCTAGTCAAATCTGTCATATTTGTTTCTCCAAATAAATTATCTAAACATTATTTTACCCAAACTGGATGTTCACAGTTGGATAGACGATGCATGTGCCAAACCTGCCAGGAAACTGATTTTTTTTTCCGATGGGCTAAGATCAAATTCTAGACAAATTTATTTCCTAGAGGAAGAAAGAATTCCCTTTTTTAAGCTTTCTTTAAAAAAAAATTAAGCAAGTGTCATGGGATACCATATTATCAGCAAGAGAAAATTAGAAACATCCAAGGCAACACCCTCACACCCAAGATGAATTCTGCAAGGAAAGGTGAGTTGAAACTGATCCAGCTATTTGTAGGATTACCATAAATACACCTTTCGCCTCAGCCCCACAATTTACTGCCTAGCTCCACAAGACAGGACACAAAAACAATTGGAGAGAGAGTGTAAGCCGCTCTCTGCACCCCAGCAGTGGTTCATCCCAAAACACGGGGTGCAGGCTGCAACCTCTCCCACGTGAGCAATCACCCCGCACCCGCCACGGGAATCTTCCTTCTGCTCAAAACCTTTGCAGACAGTATCTGGGTCTGCAAATGTTACCCGAGTTTTCTCCAGGATATCAAATGAATGTAACGTAGTTAGCCGAAAAACTGAAGAACATGCCAGAAGTAGAAAGACGAGCTCCTGCAGTTCAGAATTTTCAACAGTAGGCCTTTCCGTTAAAATGACAACAAAAAAATACATTTCTCCCGCTGAATCCTTTATAAATATGGTTTTAATGATCAAAATTACATTGAGACAGTCTCCTGCAACAAGAAACGACTTTTTTATTTGCTCAACAGAAAGAGTACTTTGCAGCTAAGTTTAAGGGAGAAACAAAACCAGAAAATGAATTTTCATTGAGTTAAACTGTATTGATGCGAAAAAAGTTAAGTAATAATCTATAAACTCTTTTATTTAGTGTTTGACTTGCTCTGATTCAACATCTAAATAACTTAAAGTGGGAGTTGTTCAATGGAATACGGATCTTAACAGCAGAAAATGAAAGGGTAGCCTGCCAGCGATGACCCCAACAAGGACTCCAGGCCACCCCCACTTCTAAACGCGGTCCACTGTCCTCTCTGCCGCGGGCAACTGACCCAAAGGACACCGAGCGCCAAATCCTGGCGGGCCCATTAACGACTCAGTCCTAGGTTAGAACCCTCGCCTCCAATCTCGCTTCCACTCCCCACATTCATTTCCTCAAAATCGTGAAACCAATTAAGAAAACGTACAGTTGCTTTTCTCCCCACGTGTGCCCTAAAACTTGGGGGCTGGGTTCCACTCTTCGTAGCCAAAAGTAAGAACACGGAGCAGTTCGCGTTTTCAGTTGACGCATTTCCCTCTCTCGCCTTTGGCGGAAAAACGCTGGGCGGCTCCGTTTTCGCTGCCCCCTCCCCAGCACTTTGTCTCCCGTCCCTTCCCCGCCCCCCGGCCCGTTCTGCTCCCGCGCAAAATAGGACGAGCGCCGCGAGACCGAGGGGAGACCAAGTTCAAAAAGGCGGAGGGCGGACGGGCTCGGCGGGCCCCGGAGCAGCGCCCCTCGGAGGCGGGGGCAGGAAGCGGCCCCCCGGTCCCGTCCCGACTTCCCCCCTTCGGGTCAGAACAATGGCTTTTTGCCCGGAAAACGCGATTCGGAGGAGGCCGGGCGCGCCCCGGGGACCAAGCGGGGCTCGGCGGGCGGCTGCCAGGTCCGAAATCGCGAGGCGCCTCTATCCTCCCGGGGCCCCGCCCGCGCCTGGGGCTCCCCGCGTCCGGCCAGCACCCCCGGCCCGGCCCGGTCCGGCCCAGCCCCCGCGCACGGGACCACCAGCCCGGGGCGCGAGACCGAGCCCGCCGCGAACAATGCGCGCCCCGCCCCGCGCCCCGCCCCCGCGCGCTCATTGGCCCGCGCGGGATTGGGGCGGCCCGCGGGGCGGGCGGAGGGCCGCGGCGCGCGGCGCGGGAGGCGCGGCGGCGGTGCGCGTGCGCGGGGCGGGCCTGCGCGGGGCGGGGGCGGTGCTTTGTGTGCGGCCGGCGGGGCGCGCGGCGGCGGCGGCGGTGGCGGTGCGGGGAGCGGCGGGCGCCGCGGGCGGGCGGGCGCGCGGCAGCATGGAGGAGCTGAGCAGCGTGGGCGAGCAGGTCTTCGCCGCCGAGTGCATCCTGAGCAAGCGGCTCCGCAAGGTGCGTGCGGCCCGGCCCGGCCCGCGCCCGCGCCCGCCTGCCCGCCCCGGCTCACGCGCCTCTTCTCTCCCTGCAGGGCAAGCTGGAGTACCTGGTCAAGTGGCGCGGCTGGTCCTCCAAGTGAGTCCCCGACAATGCGGCGCCCGCTTTCCCGCCCGCGCGCCGCCTCGGCCCCGGGGGAGGGGGGAGGGGGCGGCGTGGGGACCCGCGGCCGCGCCCGCGGGGGGGTCCGTCCGCGCTCAGGGCGGGAAGTTCGCGGGGTCCCCGCGGGCTCCGCGGGGAGGGGGCGCCCGGCCCGCGCGGGGCGCCCTTTGTTTACCAGCTCCCGCGGAACCCCCTCTGGCCGCGGCCCAGCGGCGCCCCCGGCCGCCTAGCCCCGCGCCGGGCCGCTTCCCTCCGCCGCGCGCTCCTCCCGCGCCCATTTGTTGCATGCGCCCCCGCCCCGTCTCGGCCCTCCTCACGCGACGCGAGCCCCCCTCCTCTTGTCCATATTTTCCCCGCTGTAACCTGAGCTTTCTATTGATGGATGTAGGGCTTTTTTGCTTTTTTTCTTTTCGTGGAAGGGAGGGGACTTGGCATCCCCGGAAGGGGCTCTGTTTATAGTCACTCCCGCCGACCCCTTTCGGCCTTCTTTCCGACCCCACTTTTTTCCTTTTGCTTTCCCCTCCGGGTGCCCCGGCCCGCGCTCGCTCGGGCGCCAGGCACATTGTTCTTAATCTTTGGGCTGCGCCTCTGTGCTCCTCGGCCTCCCTGCCCTGCATCCTGCACGAGCCTCCCCTCCCCTCGCTGGCTCCGGGCCAGGGTTTGGGGGCTTCCCTTTTCTGCAGCTTTCATTTATACTGCGATTTGTTTTCTTCCTTGGGGGAGGCTGTGGAGTCCTCCTGAGGCCGTGCGTTAATTGCGGGGTGGAGGTGGCATTTTCCTTTGAGTTCAGGATAAGGTGCTGGCTCAAGGGCTGCAGTCTTCAGGAGCTCGCCTTGGGTCTGGTTGGGACCTTTCCGGGATTCTACTGCAGCACCTCTGTGCGCCTGCCATCAGCAGGCATCGCAGAGCCCTGGGGCGACCCCGCTCTGCTGCTCCCTGAATTGTGGTCACTGCCTGCAGTTTGATGGCGACTGCTCTTTGCTTTTCCAGACACAACAGCTGGGAGCCAGAGGAGAATATCCTGGACCCACGGCTGCTCCTGGCCTTCCAGAAGAAGTGAGAAAGTTCACAGCATGTGTGGGAAGGGGGGATGCAGGGGGGAATGTGGCCTGTCACACACGCATGCAGGCGGAGTTGACCCACCAGGGCTCCTGGGCTTGGGCTGTAGTCTGAGGTCCCGTAGTGGCTGTCACCAGGGCCTCATGTGCCATGGCTGTCAGCAAAGGTGCAGCAAGCTGTGAGGTCCCAGATGAGTCCTTCCCCCACCTTCCCAGGCTGCCCAGCACTGTGTCCAGACCCAAGAAGTCACTGGTCTTTCTGATAGCCACCTTGCAAAAAAAGAACCTTCTTGATTCCTCCATGAAAGTTCTGGCTTGTCTTCTTGGCCTTTTCTGTTGGGTAATTTGCAGACAGCACTAATAAAAACCAGGATTGGCAGGTTTGCCATAAAAGTGCAGACCTGGCTTCTCAACCCTGTATGAGGATGCCATGGAGCGAGAGAAGGCTCAGGGAGGGAGCTGGAACACACAGCGCAAAGTTATGCTTATTGTAGTGTACGTGTACCGAGAACAACACATTTCTTTTTCTCTGGGCTGCAAAACAGATGGTACCAAGTGAGCACTGTGGGGCCCCCTTGCCAGTCTCAGGGGCCGAATTTTCTCCTGTAATTCTAGATGTCGTCTCTGGTTTTTGGTAGGAGACTTGGGTTAAGGGAGGCCTCTTTGGGATGCTCAGGGAAAGGAGTGGTGAGGGATGGGCGAGGATGGGCCACGCCATCCGGGCATGAGGATCCAGGCAGTGCTGTTCCAGAGCATGCGGGTGGGGGTGAGGTATGGGAACATTGCTGGGGACGGCGCTGGTGATGGAGGCGGATGGACCTGTTGCTCAAAGGCTTTCCCAACTGGGGTCAGTCTGGTCAGCTTGTTCTCTGGTGGTGGCTCAAGCTACATCCACTTTTTGTTGTCTGTAGTTCATTTGGGGTCCTCTCGGAGGGCCTGTGACGATAGGGAGAAAATAGAACCAGGTTTGGGGCAGGAGAGACAAGGGGGCGAGCATGTGCTTGCTTTAGTCCCCTTGGAAGGTTCTGTCACCAACCTCGTTGTCTGCTGTGTCATTTATAACTTGGGTCCCGTAAGCCTTGGGAGGTGGGGAGCTGGGACGTTTCTCCGCCACACTGTCCTGACGCTGGGGACGGGGCTGCGTCCTTGACTTGCTTTAGGTTATGGCACAACAGACAAGAAGTGGGGTTAGCAGCTATTTTGAGATGGAAGGGTGAAGAGAAGAACTGTGGGGTGGGCCAGATTGCATCATGCCAGGAGGGGAAACCCACCCAAACATTCCCACTGGGAATGAGGAGCTGACAGTTATTTGCTGAGGGGGAGGCTTTGAGTGTAAGGGGGTGTCTCAGGTCCAGAGCCGGTGGATACAGGTGACTGTGTCAGCAGGGGAGCCCCGTGAGATGCTCCCGTCCTTGGAGGAGGTGGGCCAGGCGGGTGCTGCTCTGGTTCTGAGCTCTGCCTGGTTGTACTAATTGGATTCTTTAAGAGATCATCTTCCGGGCCCCAATGAGATGCTGTTTGCCCGTTTTAATTACTGGGAAACTTCTCTGATAGATCCTCTTCCCCAGGGGGTAGCCTGAAATACAAGCCTTCTCTAGGGGCTGGGGCAGCTCTCTTGGCTTCATGACCCCGAGTCACGAGTCAGGGGGCTGGTTAAAGGTATCCTGCAGGTGTCCTGTGAGCCCCAGCACTTTGGAATCTGGCACCCCCGATGCGTCCCTCTACAGCAGGGTCTAGGGACAGAGGGGCCTCAGAGGAAGGAACGCGGCTTTGAAATGTGAGCCAGGGGCACGGGCTCTGGGAAGACTCAGCACAGAACAGGGCTGGAGCCCTCAGCCCCCTGGTGCTCCTGGGACTGGTGCGGGCACTGGAGAGGTGGGGGCTGGGGCCAGGGGTCCTTGCCTCCCTGCCCTGGACTCCTGTTCGAAGTGATGGGTTGGACCATGTGACCACCAGGGCTCCTAGTTGTGGCATTCTGGAATTCCCAGGAAACATTCTCCCTGCGAAAGTGGCCTGGATTAGTAGTGTTTGACGTGGAGTTGGATAAAGCGGAGAGCTGCTCATTTCCTAGCTTTGCTTGAGTTTCTTTGATTTGTCTTTACCCAAATGCAAGTGAAATAGATGAATATGAACATATGACTGAGCCATATTGCGAAGGACCTCTGTGTCTGCCTCAGACATGTCAATAAGGCGACATGTTTTTGCAGCGAAACATGGCAAACTGCAGGGGCCGGAGTGTCCACGGGTGTTTGAAGCTGCAGGGTTCCCCTGTGGCGGGAGGGCGGGTCTGTGCACAGGGCTTCTCCCCCCTCACTGGCGACTGTCTTCAGGGAACACGAGAAGGAGGTACAGAACCGGAAGAGAGGCAAGCGGCCCCGGGGCAGGCCGAGGAAGCACACGGTGATGTCCTCCTGCGGCCGGCACTCGAAGCTCAAGGTGGGTGCCCATGGCTCCTCGCCATCCAGCAGACGTTCTGGGTAGAGTAGAAGGCGGTGGAGGGAGGGTTGAGGGCTCTGGGGAATGGGGGCAGGGCTGGCACCTCCGAGGAAGCCCCCCTTGCTCAGAGGACCCTGACCTTGTGCCTCCTTGCTTGCTGCCGCTCTCAGTCCCGGAGTGCCCGTCCTGCCCATAGGGCCCTGCAGTGGCCCAGCACCGCCCCCTCCACCCGAGCTGGTTTTCTGTTTCTTTGAGGTCCATGCTGCACTCCTCTCTACTGGATAGCTGGGTCAAACCTGGCTGCTGACCATTGCTCTTCCTCACCCCCGGTGGCTTAGGGGAAACAGAAAAGAACATGAAGCTGCACACAGTAGGTGCACAAAGGTTTGCCAGGTAGACGCAACTAACGGGGCAGCCCACAGGTCCGCACACACCTGGGGTCCGTGGCCCCTCCCTCCTCCAGCAGTTAGAGGCCGGGGGAAAGGCGTGCAGGGCTCCGTCTCAGATGTCTTTTTGATCCCTTCCTTGAAGACACTGCCCCAGAACCCTGAAACACACATGCGGCCAGGAGCTCACTTAGGGAAGCCGCCGTCCCAGAGGCTCTGGGGTCCCTGCCTGAAGTCTTGTTGGCTGTGTATGCTGGCCTCGTTTTGTGTTTGAAATCTTCCTTTTGAGCAGGATGATGAGGGCTGCAGGCATCCTGCTGGCTGCCTGAGAACATGGGTGGTTTGCACTTAGAGGCGGCCCCCGCCAGCCCCGTGGCTTGGGCTCTTATCAGCTGGGGTGACAAGGTTGGGGGGCCACAGAAGTGGCAACAAGGCAGTGGTGCCAGCCCAGGGGGCCCTGAGGCTTCAGGTTTGACTCGCTGGGCCCTAGTTCAAGGCAGGCCAGCTTTGCAACAGAGAGCTGGGTGTTGGCTCTGTGTCCCTGCCCTGTGACCCAGTGGGCAACACGGGGACTTGAGAAACAGGAGGGTGCCATGTGCTTCATTAGCATTTGAGGCGGCACCCAGAAGAGGGGGAGGGCAGTGGTTGGTTTTCGTGTACACTGGAAGGTTCTAAAGGGGTCTGATTGGGAAATGGGGAGACTGAAGCAAGATGTCACTTGCTTTAGGTTACAGAGTTCTTGCACACGCCGCTTCGTTCAACCCTTAGACGTATGAGACGTGCAGACTGCTGCTCTGAGAGCCTGGGGCTGCACTTGTGTCCCCTCAGCAGCTGCTCGTGTCCTGGCTGCTCAGTGTGTGTGCTTTTCCATTGTGGCTCTGACATCACTTTACCAACCACCTGCCTGTCTTTTTCCTGTTGTACCTTTAACCTTGCATTTCATGGTGCGTCATGAGGACCTTTCAGATACTTTCTGGAACCAGGTGGTGAGAATTGCTCCTTCCTGGCTGCCTCCAGTCTGGGAGTCCCAGGAGGCTCGGGGCCCAGGCCGTGGAAGTGGTGACACCTTCCGCTTTGTCTTTGCAGGACCCAGGTGCCCCCTCCAAATCGAAATCCAGCAGCTCCTCCTCCTCTTCCACATCCTCCTCCTCTTCCTCAGATGAAGACGATGACAGCGACCTAGATGCCAAGAGGGGCTCCCGGGGCCGCGAGACCCACCCAGTGCCCCAGAAGAAGGCCCAGATCCTGGTGGCCAAGCCCGAGCTAAAGGACCCCATCCGAAAGAAGCGGGGCCGCAAGCCGCTGCCCCCAGAGCAGAAGGCGGCCCGAAGACCCGTGAGCCTGGCCAAGGTGCTGAAGACCTCCCGGAAGGACCTGGGGGCGCCAGCCAGCAAGCTGCCCCCTCCGCTCAGCGCGCCCGTGGCAGGCCTGGCAGCCCTGAAAGCCCACGCCAAGGAAGCCTGTGGTGGCCCGAGCACCATGGCCACCCCAGAGAACCTGGCCAGCCTGATGAAGGGCATGGCCGGCAGCCCCAGCCGCGGCGGCATCAGCTGGCAGAGCTCCATCGTGCACTACATGAACCGCATGAGCCAGACCCAGGCCCAGGCTGCCGGCAGGCTGGCACTCAAGGCCCAGACCACTGGCAAGTGCAGCCTCGGGCTGGACCTCAAGGTGAGGACGCAGAAGGGGGAGCTGGGGATAAGCCCCCCAGGAAGCAAAGCCCCAAAGGCCCCCAGCAGCGGGGCTGTGGAGCAGAAAGGGGGCAGCGCAGGGGGCCCCCCCCACGTCCACAGCAGCAGCAGGGTCCCCACTGGGTGCCTGGGCCCCCAGCCTGCGCCCACCCAGGAGCTGAGCCTCCAGGTCTTGGACTTACAGAGTGTCAAGAATGGCACGCCTGGGGTGGGCATGGTTGCTCGCCATGCCACAGCTACCAAGGGTGTCCCTGCTACCAACCCAGCCACCGGGAAGGGCGCCGGGGCTGGCCCCACCATGGGGAGTGGGGCCGGTATGCCCACCGACACCAACAAGAGTGAGAAGCTGGCCTCCAGGGCAGCAACTCTGCCCAGCCCTGCAGGCAAGAGGGACTGTGTCAAGGGCAGTGCAGCCCCTGGTGGGCAGGAGGGCCACACCACCTCCGGAGAAGCGCGCAAGCCAGCCGCGCTGTCGGAGATGAGCACCGGCGAGGAGAACAGTAGCTCTGACTCAGACCCCGACTCGGCCTCACCACCCAGCGCCGGACAAAACCTGTCGGTGTCCGTCCAGACTAGCCAGGACTGGAAGCCCACCCGCAGCCTCATCGAACACGTCTTTGTCACTGACGTCACCGCCAACCTCATCACCGTCACGGTGAAGGAGTCCCCCACCAGCGTGGGTTTCTTCAACCTGAGACATTACTGATGCCCCGAGGCTGCTGGGGTGTCACCTGCCCCTCTCTGACCTTTGATAAGTGACCTGGACACCCACCCTGCCTGTGACTTCGGGCAGGGGCAGTGCCTTGATCCATTGCTGGGCCCAGCCTCGCCCTTGCTCCTACCTCTGGGCCTTCGCTTCCCATTCGCCTCAGGAAGTCTGCGTGGCCCCCTGTGGCTCTAGCCAAACGGTTCTCAAGCCCGTCTGGTGGTTGTGCTGTTGGAACTGCCCTCTCTGGCCTGTGATGACAAATGGGTGGTCACCTCCCCTCCCTGTTTCCCAGAGGCACAGGGAGCTCCTCCTGGTCCAGCTTGGCTATTCCTTCCTGGCGGTGGGGAGAGCATACTGGGGGTGGAGGGCAGCAGGGCCTTGGGGCCCTGTTCCAGGGAGGGCTAGAAGAAGTTTCTAGAAGATGGGGCTGGGGGAGTAGGGAGGGAGCCAGGCGGTCTGAACTCCCCACTTCAGAACAGTGCCTGAGCAGACCAGGGTGAGGTGACTGTTCATCTCCCTGACCCCACCCCCACCCCGGACAGCTGAGGCTGTGGCCTTAATGGAAAAGGACAGGTGCTCATTAGGGGATCGGGAACCCTAAAGAGTTTGGTTTGGGTGCCATCCACCCCTGGTTGAGATTAACAACCGCAGCCTCCACATGTTGACCCGGACATCCCCCAGGGGCGGGGAGGGGCTGGTCCCAGAGCTCTTTCACCTGAAGAGCCAGCCTCTGCCTTTGGGGAGCAGAAGGAGACGGGTGTTGCTCTGCGGCCCTCCTTTTGAAACCAGCCTGTGCAAGGACCACCTTTGTCCTAATCCTGGGCCCAAACACTGCCCCCCGGAGCCCCTGGAAGGTGGGTGGGTGTGCAGGCGGCTGCTGGGAGTGGATGCACCCTCCCGCTGTCCGCTGGTGTCCAGCTGTCATGCGAGTGTTTGCTGCAGGTCCCCCACAGCCTCTGCCCAGATGGACGGGCACCACCTTCCCTGACAATCCCCCCACCTTTGGGGGTTCCACGTTCTGCTCCTTCCCGGCTGAGTAGCTGTGTCCCTGTACCATTTGGGAAGTGGGACACAATCTGAGCAGCCTGCCTGGCAGAGCGTCCCTGGAAAGGCCTGATCTGCCAGGCTGACTGCCTCCCCGTGGCCAGCTGAGGCTGGGAGCTGGCCGTGCCTCCTGACCAGAATTGCCTCTATGGGCTCAGCGCAGGGAGGTGCGTCACTGGGTCTTTGTGATGCCAAAAAGAAAAGTGGGGGCGTGGGGGACTCTGCTTCGATTATTGGTTTAAAGTCAGCCGCAGCCGTGGGGCTCTTTCTGTATCCCCAGCCTTGATGCAAGGGAGAGCCCGGACTTAGCCTCTGGGCTCTGGTTTCTGAGGGGTGGGCCTGCCAGACCTCCAGTCCCCTCAGTCCCTCACCCTCCACGCCAAATAGGAAGAGATGGCTTTTGTGTACCCAAATCCATTTGAACAGTGTGCCTTTGGGGACGAATCTGTGTCCAGGGCCTTGTTGAGGGTTGTCTGCGTGCAGCCTCTGGGTCTTGCACGTGGTAGCCTTGCTGGCTTCTGCAGGAGTGGTGCCCACCTTGGTGGACCCGAGGGCGGGGAGTCCCGGACCACTGGGCTGAGACTGGAAAGTGGGCAGTAAAGGGGAGACTTGCCTCCTCCACTGTGCAACACAGCCTGGAAGGGATGCCAGCACGCTGGGCCCTGGCACCAGCCTCCCCTCCTGTCCCCAGACACCCAGAAGCTCCCTGGGTGTGACTGAAGGGGCTCCTCTGGGCTGCCTCCCCCTCGGAGGAGCTGATGACCCCCAGGTTTTACAGTTCCTTTCCTGCCGGGCACCGTGCTGCCTTAGAGGCGGGAGTGCCGGGCCAGCAGCAGGTCTCCCCTCCAAGCCCTTGGGATGACCCTGGGCTTCTGCAGGCTGTTGGCTAAATGTGTGTTGGGCTGACCTGACATCCCCAGCAGTCAGGTTTCCAAACCCCAATTTGGTGCCTTTCTATTTACCAGCTACTTCAATCCCAAAGTTTAAATCTGCAGACACCTTCCTCCCAGCCACTTTGCCTTCTTGCCATGTCGTGTGTTTTTCTTGGTGCTTGTGTCTCCAAGGGGTCCATGTTTAAAAGGGTGTGTGTGTGTGTGCCCGCGCGTGCTCTTGCACACACATGTGCAGGTGTGATAGCCTTCGCTGAAGAATTGGACCAGATGCTAGAGTTGGTCATCATGTTTACCAATAAATGAAAGTAGTACTTTTTTATTTGCTGCTATGTGTGTGTGCGTGTGTGTGTGTAGCTAGGCATCGGTCACACCTCGGACCTGAGATTTCTTGTTGCTTTATTCTGCAGGGTTTCCTACGTGAGCTGCGGCACAGTGTATATGGAGTGTGTGTGGTAAACCTGTCGCATCTTTCTCTCTGCTTCTGTAAGGGATAGGAAGAAGTGGCCAATCTGTCTTCTTTAGAGGGCTTGGCATATTTTTTTATATATTTTTGGTACCAAAAAGAGTGTTCCCTGTTTTGGTTACGCTCAGAATTCTGACCTGACGAACGGGGCTCTGGGCCTAGAGGTTTCTTTAGGGGAAAACTTTGGGGGAGGACCAGAGCTTTGGACCAGTGCCAATCACTGGCTTGATTTGTGCTTTTTAATTAAAAAAAGAAAAAGCCAAATCATTCATGTATGCCACTTCTAATTGCTTTAAACTATGGCTGTTTGTTTGCTCTCTTTGAGAGAGAACAAAAGTGGATATGTTATTGCCCTGGGAAACTTCAGATCTTTGTTGAAACGGGACAGCAGCTGAGTCCTCATATTCAATCAGGACCAACCCGTGGAAGGAAATGCTTCCCCCAGGAAGCCCACAGTGGTTGCGGGGAGGGAGTGGGAGGAGTGGAGAGGCAGTGCCTAGATCACCAGATTTTTGCCCTTTAAGTGCGTCTAAAGATTTTGTGCATTTTCTAGTATTTTTTGAAAACTAACACTAGCAATAGGTTGCAGATTTTTTTTTAGACTAATGTTAATTTATTTTGCAGGGGAAAGACATTAGCAAATGGCGTCAGAAGATTTCTTTCTGTTAACTCTTAGTATATCAATAAATTTTTTTAACTTTTCAGCTTCGTGTATGTCGTGAGTGATGCCTAGAAACACAACAGTCTCTTCACTTTTCCTTTCTTGAGGCAAAAGACTTCTCTGGCTGTGGACTGAATCGTGGGATGGAAAATCAAACGCCTTGGGAAGGCTTACCCACTTTCCTTGGGTGCAGAAAAGGATTTTTTCTTTTTTTTTTCCTTTTATTTTTTTTCCCCCTTTTTCTCCCCAAACCCCCCCGGTACCTAGTTGTGTATTCTTCGTTGTGGGTCCTTCTAGTTGTGGCATGTGGGACGCTGCCTCAGCGTGGTTTGATGAGCAGTGCCATGTCCGCGCCCAGGATTCGAACCAACGAAACACTGGGCTGCCTGCAGCGGAGCCGACGAACTTAACCACTCAGCCACAGGGCCAGCCCTGAAAAGGATTTTTTTCTAAGCAAAGGGATGAGGTTGATTGTAAAAGTGAGTCCCTAACTAGCAGTTCACACACGGGTGATCTGGCATCCCAGGGGACATGTGACAATATCTGGAGACAAATTTTGGTTGTCACAACAGCGGCGGGGGACAGGCAGGGTGAGTGTTACTACTGGCATCTAGAGGGTCGAGGCCAGAGATGCTGCAATCCATCATAAACTCACTTGGAGACATCTCCCAGAAACTGGTACTTGAGGTGAAAACAAACCAAAATTCTCTGGTACCCCCACCACCATCCAAAGATGCTGTGTTGGAAAGCTAGTGAACCCCTTGAATCCGCCACATGTGGTAACACTTTAAAAGGACACAGCCATAGAATTCCAGGGGAGTTACTATGAAGGGCGAGCAGCTTTGCGTCAGCCAAGCTACTGATGCTCCTAACCCACGGCTCATAATGAAGAGATGATTTGCTTATTATGTAACCTTCCCTGGTCCTTTAAGGTTTGCATTACCCTCAGCATGAATTTATTCATAACTTTCAGCCTCCAGGGAGAGTGAAGCTCCCTTTGAAGTGGAGCGAGAAGTTGGGCCTAGATGTCGGCCTTCACTAGTTGAAAGGCTAGTTGGAGCGAAGGCCTGCACGTTTCAGTTCAGGAGGAGGGTCCCACTGCAGACGGAAATGCAACCCCCAGCTCTCCCGAGCTCCAGAAAAGGCCTGCGAATTTGAAGTCAGGTTCTTGCGGGGAAAACTGCTGGCGTGTTTTCTTTTGTTGCGCCTTCAGACGCTGGAGCAGTTTTGTTGGGGAGAAGGGTGGGCAGAGAACCCTAGCCCCCCTATCTTCTGGCTTTTGAGAGCTGCAGAAAGGGGATAGGGGTGGCCAGGAGCAGGCTGGCGGAGCAGAGCTGGCGCTGCCCTGAAGGGTGAGCCAGGCTTCCGCGGGAGCCCGTTTCTACAGAGACTCCGGCAGACGGGCGCGGGCCCCGGCCCACACAGGCCTTTGTTAGTCTCTGCGCTGCTGATCTGATCGCCTAGCCCACCGCCTTCCCAGAAGAATGGGCTGGGCTGCCAAGGGGCCTGAACCAGCCCGAGGGCCCGGCTTGTGGCCTCCCCCGGGCTCGGCCCCGCGCCGCCTGGTCTAGTCCGAGGGCTCCTGGCGCGATAGGTACAGCCGGACTCCGAGGACGCGGATCCGGGCTGCTGGACCCCTCCTTCCTCCCCTCCACTCTCGCGGCTCAAGGGCCTGGCCGCCGGGAGGGCGCGTAGTGGCGCCCACAGTGCCCATTCTAACTTGCTTTTGTGTGGGAGAGATGCGTCCCCTGCTCCTGTCCGGACCCAGAAAGGCACTGGCAGCTGCGGGAGGAGGTGGGCGCCAGGGAGAGGGGCCGAGGCCATCACCTCTAGAGGGCGCGCGCGTCCCGCGAAGCTCTGGCCTCTGGCGCTTTGGACGCGCAAGGGAAGTTCCCCTCCCGGAGCTCCGATCTGCCCCGGGGAACCGAATTGCACGACCCGACCGCTCCGAGCGGACCCCAGCAGCCTCCGTTTCGGAAGTCTTAGGAGGAGAGCCCCGGCCCCAGCCCACAGTTTCTTTCCCCCGCGTCCAAGTCCCCAAGGCTGGACGCCGTGGAGCCCCACCAAGCACTGAGCGCCCCCATCTCGGACCCCAGCTGGGTCCGAGGCCCCCTCTGGGCCTGGAGGACGTCTTGGTGAGAAGAGGAAATCACGGTATGAGCCCCTAAAGTGCTGGAGCAGGCCCGTTCGCCCGCAGGTCTCCCGCACACAGCACAGGGCCTCGTCTAGGATCGGTGCGCTGTAAGCATCAAAGGGACAGGAAAATGGATACGACGCGACGCTCTCCGAAAAGCCATAAAGATTCCAGTTCAACCAGTGTGTGTGCTGGGCCAGGCTCCGCGCTGGCGGCGACCGCATGAGCCGGCCCTGCCCTGAGGACGCAGGGGAACCGGCCTAGCCTGGCCCAGTGGCGGCATCCTGGGCCGGAGGCCTCCACACCTGGTCGCGTTCCCGGAGAATCTGCAGAGGGAACGGAAACCCGCGGAAGGAGCTCCTGGTCAAAACCCAGGTTGGTGGGGGTCAGCCGACAGGGGAAAGGGGGCAGAGTCGGCGCCCTCTCCGAAAGCACAAACCCACTCCGCTGCCCAAACACCCAGGGGCCAACGCGGGATGCAGGCCTGGCCGAGCGGCGGGGCGACGGCTTGGAGGCTTGCCGCCCGCTGCGACCCTCGCCAGGCCACCCGCTCCACCACCCCACCCCCACCCCCTCCCCCTGCTCGCTGCCTCTGCCCACGGAGGGCGCTGGACCCTCACGTCCGAAGGGCACTCAATGCTCCATGACCCGCTGTCCCGATCCCGGAGACTCCTTCCCTCTCGCGTCCTCCCACACTGGGCACAGAACTAGGGAAAGGAGGCGGGGAGAGCTCCGTCAAGGGCAGGGTCACCGAGTCGTTGGCCAAGTGCAGGAGATGCGCGGGCGAACGCGTGCCCACGCCCCTCCCTTCGGGCTCTGCCAGTGCGCCTAGATGCCGGCTTCTCCGTGGGGCGACGTCTGCAGGGCTTATGGGGGTGGAACTGGGTTCAAGGCGATGGCCTCTTTGGGGGTCCGCAGGGCGGCTCTCTTGTGCAGGCTTCACGACCCCGCCCCCACTGCCGCAAAGTCTGCGGCCAGGCAAGGCCGCGAACCCCCACCCCCACCCAGCACTCTGCTCTCCCCGGACCGTGCCTCGCCCAGCGTTGGGGCCTCTGCCCCCTAAGAAGACCGGGACGGAGGGCTGCGGGGGCTGGCAGGGGGCGGGGGGCGCGGGGCTGCGCCGCGGTAGCTCCGGGTTCACTAATCACATCAGCGCGCTCTGCGCCGGCTCGGAGCAGCCAGTTGCCTAGCAATACCCGCGAATTCAATTCCTCAATCAATAGGCGCGAGGCGCTGCATTTCGGGGAGCGCTGGCGAGGCTGGGTGGGTCTGGGGGGCGGGTCCCACGACAGCAGCGGGGAGCAGGCCGGGAACGCCTGGGGAGCGCGGCTGCAAGGCGCCCGGGCCTGAGGGACCGCCGGCGTCGGGACTGAGGTGGGGCGCGCGGGGGGAGCCCCGCCGGAAGAAAGGTGAACCCAGAGGTCGCGCCTATCCTCCCAGGTTCTGCCCGCAACCTAGAGAAGTGCAGTGGGTAGGTGAGGAAAGCCACGACCTCCCCCCAGGAGGCTAAGGAGGGCCATACCCCGCTCCCTCCCAAGTCCACCTCTCTCCCCCCACTTGGAGTTCCTCCAGTTTGGGAAGGGGCTGTGGGGGGAGAATCACCCCGGGCCGCAGGGGGAGTGAGTGGGGAGTGGGGTGGGTGAGGAAAGAGGAGCGAAAGGTCATCTCTTCCCGGGGCGCCTCTTCCCTCTGCTCGAGGCGGGGAGGGAGGAAGGAGTAAAACCGAGACACGTCTCTATTTACAAAGTATATATTTAAACACGTAAAAAGCGGTATTGGATACAGACATTCACAACCGCAGAAGATAGGTACCGAAGCTTCACTCTCGAGCTGAGGCAGAGATGGATTGGAGATTTGTACAAATCTTAGAATTAAATAAAGCCAACACGCGCACATCCCGCGCGGTTGCACACTCCCAGCCACGCGGTCCGGCCCCTGCCCACCCACCCCCCAGGTCAGCGTCGCAAGAGCGAGCGAAGGAGACACACGTACGGCCACGGACAGACGGCAGGACGGGGGGAGTGGGGGGGGCGGGGGGGAGGGCAGAACCAGGCTGGCCGGAGGAAGGTCGGAGGGAAGGGGCAAAGTCAGCCCCGGGGAAGGGAGATGGGAGCGAAGGAAGGGAAGAAGGAAGGGAAGACGGGAGCCAGGTAAAGACACGTGTCCCCGAGGCACCGTCCACTCGGTAACAGACATGTCCCTTCAATGAAGTTTCATCTGAAAATAGCGTCGACATTTAAATAGATACACTCGGTCAACGGCGCTTCTTTATACAAAGTCTAAAATACCAGCTTTACAAATGTGAGCAGATAAAAATCCCCATTCCAGGGGCTTCTCTTTATAGGCGCAATTTGATACTCAAAAACAAAAAAAAAAATCATGTAGTACACCGTTTTCCTCTTTTTTACCCCCTCTCTTTAAAGGCAAGAAAGTCTAGAAGAGAGCGAGAGGCTGAGAAGCGGGAGGTGGGGATGGAGGAGTGCGGAGGAGGACCGGGCTGCGGTTCCCTCCTGTGCCCCCCATCGGGAAGCTCCCCGCCCGGATCGCCCCGAGTCTGTGCTTCCTCCCGCGCGCAGGGCCCCCACGCCCCTCCCCGGACAAGCAGTGGGAAGTTACAGCTCCGCTGGCCCTGTCAGGGCGGGGGCGGGCGGGGAGGCCCCAGAATCAGTCCTCAAAGGGAAGGGGCGGTGGGGGGGAGGGGGGACAGATTTGTGCTTTTGAGTCAAAAGAGGGGCGCGCGTTCTGCGTCCTTGGATCGCAGCGTGGTCAGGAATCGTCCGGGGCGGGGGCGTCCCGGGACCCGCCGCCGCGCACGGCCTCCCCCGCCGGGGCCGCCTCTTCTCCAACTCCCGCTCCTCCCTCCCTCCCTCCCCCTCTGGCGGAGTTTGAATGTCGAGTTCAAATAGAGA